CACGTCCTAAGATTTCAAAATCAATTCAAACGCTTACAGTGTATTAAGCCCTGTTTCCACCGAGCGGTCCGGTTTGATGTAGTTGGTGTTTGGTAAACCTTTATCTTGCTTGTGTTTCCACAGCAAACCGTACCCTCACATGGTAAGTGTTGTGTAAGCCGGAGTGCTATAGCTGCCTGGGCTACATATAAGCCACCAGTCTTAATTTGAGTGTATTTCATGACCAGCTCAAAGTCATCACAGGAGCTTTAAAGGCTTTATAATGTAGTAGAAATCAAGTATCTCCTCTGAAAATAACTCTGAGTCATGACTGTCTACAATGGGTGTAACACCCGAGTCCCACTGTCTGTGATGTTTTCAGAGTTTTCAGAGTCCTATCTTCAGTTTGTTTACGGCACGGCCAGGACGGCCGGCTGACTCCTCCCCTCACGTATAAAAGTTGTTTAATTGAGGGACTAGAGAAAAGAAGAATAACATACTGTACTCACTGCTTAACTGTGTTTCTAGATTACGCTCATTTCAGGTAAATTTACATGCAGTGTGAAGATACGAGCATAACAAAGATCGCTAGCATTAGCATGCTAACACAACAATGCAGTGCGAGTTGTTTTGGTTTCATGCTGGTGCTCAAGGGCGACATTTGCTGGATCAAAAAATCACATATAAAGCCTTTAAGAAAGCCTGAGAGCGTGACAGTCTAGTAGAGAGCCCTCTGTCAGTACATAAAACCTCCTCCTGAATTAATCAGATGTTTGCTGTTTATTTTTAAGACTTCTCAAAGAAACACTTCAGTTCCTGTTCATAAGTAGATCCCAGAGTTCTACATGTAAGGGAAGCAGCAGTTAACTCAAACACTCATAAAAAGCACACCTTAAAACAATGTCTTCTGGTATAAACAGTTGATTCTACGGATCATAAGGACATTTGTGTGTTCAAAAAGAAAAGCCCCATTATGCTTTTTCTTTTAATTAAGAGCCTGTTTCCATCTCTGAGCAGAATCCGCTCCCATCCTGCAAACACTACCCACCACACAACCTGAAAAACAAAAAGCCTCTACCAGCATTTTTAATAAGATGCAGAGGATTCAGAAGGATCTTTATAGTAAATGCCACAACTCATTAGTCTAATTACCCTATCACACATTTACTCGCTGCTAATAACAAAGTGTGTGGAGAGACGGAGAGCGAGGGAGAGAGGAAACCACACACCTCCTCGTAAAGCTGCCATTCCAGCAATTAGTGAAAAGACACATTAAAGCCCACACAGACTTCCTGAGCTAAAATAATTAAAGAAGTGGCAGAGATGTGGATTCTTTTCTCTTTTAAAGTCTACAGCCTGCCGTATGAGCGCTGTGTAAAAAGCAGGAACCACAGGCAGATCAGACTTTTGTTTTGAAAAAAAGAGCAAGCCATTTGTGTCTTTTTGCATAATTCTGAACGCACCGTGGGAGACGTGAATCGTGAAGTCATGATTTAATTGTGTTTTTTTTTAACAAGGTAACGATGTGCGTTTGGCAATTAGCTCCTCGCATGGGCTAAAAAGAGGATTCTAAAAAATGTGAATGTGCCCGGCCTCCTCTGAATACAGAACAGCGAGGATTTTCGCTTAAGAGCAACAAATAATCACGTTTTAACGGCTCCTGCTGCGGATTCCTCGCTCGTGTTGCTCCCTGAGCTCGGTGCTGGATCTTGCTCGCTGATTGCAACGTTTTAATTGGCCGACACGTTTACATGCAGATTGTATATAGCACCATCTTGTTTTTATCCTCATCATTTGTATGCATGTTGGACCACAAATGTCATTTTCACACATGCACAAAACTACTAAAAAAGGCCCATCGTGTTCAGGGTGAGCTGCATGTGTGAACACTAGTGATGGGAAGTCTTTTTTCAGTAATCTGGATCATTAGGCTCAGCTCAGTTTTAATTTTGGTAACATTTTGGTTTAATTAAATCAGAACATGTATAATTTTCTACCTTTGATTAATGTGTGCATGTATCTCACTGAGATGTTTCATTGTAATGATACTTAAACGTGTTATTCCCGGATTTTAAATAATGTTTGGTATAAAACATTGATTTTCTACAACCCAGCACTAGGTGTGCTTGTGGCAGAGATGTGAGGAGAAAAGATCATGCCTTAAATTACAACAAAAAGGGGGAAACGGCTTTCAAATGGGGGCCTACTCATTTGGGATTGACACATCACGAGTGAACACAAAGAGCAGAATTATTTACTTCACTTGGACTTGCCTGCCAGCCCCATAGTAAAATGTCAGCCTGAAGTCGGGGTGAGCCTATGAGCCAGCAGATGAGGTCGATGACGTTTATAACACAACTAAAGCACGTAGGGAAGCTGCTTCATAATCTTTTCTGCTCACCAGTTCTTTTCCACTTGCTAGTTATACTATAATTGGCTCCAATTACACCTCGCACATAACAAGACAAAAATGGTCATCATAGCGTTGTCTTGGATCTCCCTCCTCAGGAAGATTTCAGGTGCAGGATATCCTGAAATGATCAAGAGTGCATGTGTGCAAAGAGCTTTTCTAATATAAAACTATATTTACAGGTCAATTTCAAACATATAAACCCTGATATTCTTGAGAAGATTGTGTGATGGATATGATGGGATGGTCTCTCAGTGAGCTTCCAGACCTGCTACATCAGTAAATCAGCAGTAAAGTATTTTGGCTTCACTCCCAGACGCTCTGTTTCTCCGTCCTTCTCGATAAACAGGCAATGTTTTATAGTTAATAACGATGGATACACACGTCCCAACTCTTCTCAAAGCACTTCAGTCAAGCTGCTTATGAAGTGAATTATTCTTAACATCCTTATTAACATTCATCTATTCTACACTGAGGACAACACGAGGACTGAATAGGCTTTAAATATATGTCACATGTTTTTTTGTTTAGCTGGTACTTTAAGCGTCTTCTTGTTTTTTACATGTGTGTGCACGATTTAAGAGATGAAGGAGTGGAAATGTGGAGACCCCAAAAGCCCATGTGGATGTGGAAGTGGAAGAGGGGGCTGTTTTTGGACTGAAACAGCCTCCCCCATCACCGGCACCCGGAGCTGCTCCAAATATGGCTGTTCACATCAAAGGCTGCCGTGTATCTCAGAGGAGCCGCCGAGGACTTAACAGCAGCTCGCCTCGTGAGGGGCCGTGCACCTCCTCAGACTGCGGTGTGTCGGAGACCCGCTGGGGGGGGGGGTCTCGAGGAGCTGGGATAGATGCCCAGCTCAGTGTGCAGTGTCATCGTTACAGGGCGGGCCGTGCCAGACGGTGCAAGGCAGTGCAAGGCAGTCTCATATCACACTACAGATTTATAGTAAGTTGGCGGTTTGCTGCTTCCACCAGAGATCATCCAGCTCGATTAAAAATGTCTGTATTTTAAATAATTTACCTCATAAATAGATAATACAAGCTCATTATGAGGGTGCATCAATATTCTAGTGATAAGCTGGGAGGGGAGAGAGGTGCTTTTTTCTTCATTTTTTAAGAGTTTTGGGTTCCAGGGGTGATTCATTTCTTGTTTTCTACTTTGAACAAGGTGGTGCCCCTGAGGGCTTCTAGAGGGCAAATTAAAAAATAAAATGTGGGACAAATTTTTAAACAACCCTAAAAAAGTGAGACAAAAATAAATAAGGCCAAAAAAGATAAAATAATAATACACATTTGATTGTTAACATTGAAATACAACATTTCATACCTTTTGACACATTCAACTGAAAATCTGCTCCAATGGAAGTGAAATCCCACTTTTGTGAAGCCAAAAATGTCTCATTGCATTTAATAACGGAGACCTAGTCATATAGAAAAATATTAAAATCTTCTCTGATGTTATTTTAATGCACTGCCCCCCTTAGTGTGAATCATTTCTACAGATATACTCTGAAGGATGGCATACAGGAAGTAGTCTGATGAACCACTTTGAAAGTGATGCTTACCTTTGAAAATGACTGTTGGCGTGAAAAAGAAATACATTATGATTTACAACGTAAGTCTGGAATCTTAGACAAAACTACAGAAGCCCTGAGCAGACACGCAGCCATACGTTTTATTTTTAAGTCGGTTTTACCGTGATGACGAGAATACATTTTTTGGTTGTTTTCTCAAGATGTCAACATGTTGTTATCTCGAGTAAACAGAAGAAATGACGTCATGTTGTGAAGAAATCCGCCTCGTCGTCCTGAGATAACGAGGTAAATAAGTTGAGATCTGGAGAAAACAACCTAAATGTACTCGCTATCAGAGGAAAACAGAGTTAAATAAAAAGCATGGAGATATGTCTGCTCTGTGCTTCCGTACAAAACATCTCTTTTTGCCTTATAAACACTTTTTTTATTTTAAAATGTATTTTTTATTAGTTCATTGAGGCCTCTTTGGAGTTTAATCTAATAACACGCCTAGAAAACATTCACTCATCTATTCACTGTCTCATCCCTATAATCTGAATCATAAGGTTAAAAGTACTCCAGTATACACATTACAGACGCAGAGAAGCAGCCTGTGTGACTGCTGCCAGAATATCAGATGCATATTGAAAAGCCAATTTATTAAATTCAAAGAGAAGTAAATTCAGGGTGCTTCTGCTCTCCTTTGATGAGTCAAGGCATTAACTGAAGGTGCTCTTTGGTTTACGGACGGCACTAAGTGAAAATTGAAGGAGACAACCTTCAAGTACAAATTTCAAAAGCTTTCAAGTCATGGTGAGTTTAGGGGAATGTATTAAAAAACAGCACTCGTGTTTGTAGCACTTTGTCAGCGAGTAGCACATCAAGTCAATTTAGTGCAATTTCCAACAGCTGGCACGGTGCTACGGAGGAAATGCAATCATTACTTTGAAGGACGTACAAAGTGCGGGCAGAAAGGTGCACACACAGGTGTAAGTGATTGTTTCACCTCAGGTATAACTCTGATTTTAACATTTGTGTTTTGTTCCATGGAGGATAAAAATGACACCCGAACTTCTCAGGGGACATGGAACCCACCTGTAAACGGCCCTCTTGTCAGACTCAAGCTGGGCCTGGGGGTCGAGGGTCACACTGACAGAGGTATTTCCTGCTGCAGAGGCTGCTGGGATGTGGACCTGGGGGGTCTTGGTGTTCTGTTGAGTTGTGCCCGTCATCTGGGGAGACAGAAAACAACGATTACAGATATTTATTTACATTTAAACTATCATGTTTATCAGAAGTCTTTTCAGGTTTCTTGTTAGCTTAATAGTTGAATCAGAGGAACCATAGAGTGTAGAAAACATGCAGTGATGTCAAACATTTGTTGCTAAAAAGGCATGATGAATGAGGGTGGTTGCCATGTTAGATATTATGTCTCAAACTGGCTTTCAATCAGTTTAGAAACAGACAAAGAGGTGGAGATGAGGCAGGCTTAACAACTCCTATCAAACAGCTACACTGTCTCCACCTTTCAGGCAAATCATCAACACCCCCAATTATATCTATAAATTAATGACAAACAATTAAGCGTAATCAAATTAAAAAAGAAGAGTTGTAAAAAGAAATGCATCCCCGTACAGTGTGTACCAATAGAGAACTGAGCTAATTATACCAAAAGTGTTTATTTATTGTTTAAAAGCAGTAAGTGTAAAATGGGTGTTAAAGGGGATTCCTTGGCTTTCGACTCTGAAGTGTAAAAATTTAGGAATTGCAGTTTTTTGCACTTTTGCGTTGGCTTCACTTTCCAACACTAGAGGTTGCCGTTTGGAGAAAAAACTGAAATGGACAAGCTCTCAGCCGGCAGTACATAAAACCAAAGCACCTTTTACAGCCACAGTTCAGTGCAGGACTCTAATGGCTCTGTTATGCCTCGCCATCAATTTAAATGTCACAGAGAAACAATGGTGGGGCAAAGTCTAGTCCAGAATCAGAGGTAACAGAGGAAAACACTGTAAATGGACATGAGCTTGTATAGCGCGTTTCTAGTCTTTTTAAAAGCGCTTTTACACTGCAGGTCACACCTACACATTCACACCCTGATGTCAGAGGCTGCTGGGTAAAGTGACCATCAGAAGTAATTATTGTGTGTGCGCACAATAAAAACAGCACAAGAAGTTACGTATTTAGCATGTTCACCATCTTAGCTAGTGCTAATAGTTAGCTGTCTTGGTGCAAAACACATCGCACTCATTGGTATTTTCTCTAGTATTTTCCTCACAACACTTTCAGTTGAAATCAGTTTAACTTTTGGAACAGCATCGGGCTCATCAATGTCACTTTTCCCTCACCAACCAATCGGAATCAAGACAGGGCGGGACTTACAACATCAGCTTAGTCAGCAACAGGGAGCCAGGGGATGATTACTTTACATAGTTTTTATGTTTTCTAGATGATTCTTCCTCGAATTGAAGTAAATATTAAGCACACAGAGCTATCTAAAACACACCTAACGGACATTACTGAAGGTAGAAGTGAACATTTGTTACCACCGCTGGTGAAAAGTGCTCTGGAAGAAGGTCTTGAGCGCATCCAGAACAAAAAGCGCTGTCTTTGGACACAGGTACTAAATACAAAAAATCTGGAAAATATGAACGTTACATGGCCAAAATAAAGGTTTTATGAAGGCTGTTATCCTCAGATTCAATTCTTCCACATCACGCTTTGAGCATGTCGCTGCTAGTGAGGTCAGAGTAATTTTTTAATCACTCGTCCAAAGCAATAACATGCATATGATGCTGACAGACTATAAATGAGGACGTAGCTGGAGTGAATTATTGTTACTTGACAGGTCAGCAGGCTTGTAATGAAGCTGTAAAACAGAATGGATGATGGGATAGATGCAGTAATTGAACAAGGCATGCTCAGGTCAAATATAAATTCCTGTTAAATATTAATAACGACTCTGTCAAATAAGCAGTGTGTTTCATATGGTGCTGAATATTCCTGCACTCTGAAGAAGCACAGCCCCAGTGTTGGTCCAACATGGAGACACTACAGGATCTGTTAGCTCCCTTTGATGTTATTTGTGCTTTAGGCGCGAAGACGATCTGTTGTCTTCTTCATCCTCTACCCCACTTTCCTCTCTCATTCGTTCTCTCTCAGGAAATGAGTCTAACAACCGCACCCCCACTCTCTTCCCAGTCAGGGTGGGATGGGAGGAAGCTTCAAGTCTTAATCCCAGCACCAAATGGGAAATAAATTAGCTTCTTCACACTTAACTAGCTCTCATTTGCATTTGCCGAGTGCGCAGACTGCAGCTCGGGAGCTCTCCCTCGGCACTAATCCTTGGGGCGAAAGCAGACAGAGGTGGTGAGGACGAGGAGGAGAGGCTGAGGCGGTCAGATGAACCAGCTCTACCTCCTACACACGGGGTGGTCTGCAGTGCGTGACAAAGCCGGGGTCCATCCACAGTGAGGTTTCATTTCTTACCCTGACCTGTTGGTGCCATCACATGTTGAACTATGCAGACTGGGGCCTGACCTCTTAGTCTTATACATGTGAAGATGTATTCATACAGAGAAATTTGAAGTAAATCACCAAAGTCTCACATCCTCACTTTGGTGCCCCAGATGGTTAACTCCAAAAAGAAGTCATTGAGTACAAATTCCAGGGAGAAACTTTAAAGACGAGTATATTTTGCCACTGTGAGTTTGACTGAGAAATTGTTGTTTTGTATTCAAAATAATCAAACATCTTGCAAATATTAACCTTCGTATGTGGCATATACCAAAACACTTCTATGTGCTGTATTATTTTTTACCATCATCCTTAAGTGCACACAGCTGAAGTCATTGCATGCACTTTACAGGAATTGTGTCTTCATTAGTTACCTGTTGTCTGATCCTGATCCAAATAACTAGATTGGGTATTGGTGACAATAGGCCGATCTATTCCCTTCGGTTCTATGCTTGTCTATTTACGTCAAGCTCTTTCACATTCAGTCCCACTCAGGGAAACCACATTTAGCCAGGGTGTCTTTTCCTTCAGAGCATCACATCAGTGGAATTTTATAACATTGTCAATTAGAAAGTCAGCATCAATCGTTTAAATATAATGTAAATAATGGTTTATTGAGAACCAACAGTGTCAATACTGATGCTGTACCTATGGTCATTTTAACTGCATCATGTTCTATGTTGGATATTATTTGTTCACACAAATTGTATTGTATATATCTGTATTCTTCGATACTAATGACTAATGTTAAAGGGTTATAATTAATTATATGACGCCATAGAACATCTGGCAAAGGGACTGCTGATGAAAACAAGCCATTCCCTAACTCCGATACATTTACATAAATGTGCACTTTCCCTCTTTAAATAAATAAATACTACGTCATTGTCATCAGTACACAGGCCTGTGCGTTTTGCTAGGAGAAGCCAACATAGTACGGAGGGTGCACACAATAAAGGGCTACAACTCCTACGACTATTTGCAATTCAGCAAAACAAACGTTTTGAGGGGTGCTGGTATCAGAATCAGAATCTGATTTATTGTCCAGGTATGCTTACACACGCAATGAATTTAACTTTGGTGAACTGTGCTCTCTTATGAACAGGTAGAACATTAAATATCAACAATAAACATAATAAGAAAAGACTAAAATGACTAAATATGAAACAGTGCAGTGGTGAATAGTGTAAAAGATGCTTAAGTAACATGATAATAAGTAAAATGCAGTTATGTGACAGATGGGTCAATTAAGATGTCAATAGTAGTCAAAAGTATAGAACAACAACTTAAAACAAACAAAGAAAAAAGAGGAGAAAATGAAGCACTTTGTCGGCAAAATTACAAAGGTGCAAGAAATTTCCTTGACCTGATGGTTTAAAAGCTTGTATTCATGTAAATATGTTTCCGAGAGCGCTCTGCCTGACCTCTGCAGGACCATATGAAAATACATATCAGCAGAGTTAATGGATGTAAAAGCTACGAGCTTCACCGCAAATTCCAGGAGCTATGACGTTAAGCACAGTGCAGTGCTGCAGGCTTCAAGCCCAAAACTTCACAGATCAGCCACCAGTGGTTTGATTTGAAATGCTTCATCAGGTTAAAGTGTGTGGCATTTTAAAAGACAATGCTAGCAAAAGAACAGAGCAACAACAAAGTCAGTACAAAGAGTGCACATGTTTGGCTGCTTTTCACGTTCAATGCCATTCAAACCCATGCTTCTCCAAAAAAAAAAAAAAAGAAGCAGATCAGGGCTTTTCCTTGTTATTGAATAAAGTAAATTATGTTTACATGCACAACACAACTAAGATCCTTCAAACACCCGGTAATAACCAGTTTCTTAGTGGGCGTATAAACGGATGATGCCTTTCTTGACTGAACTATTTAACATTCATCGGATAATAAATACATTCTTTTGAATCCAGACTTGTGATTGAGTCATAGAAATGACATCACTTCAGGGAGCAGGAACAACACTAGAGGGCACCTAAATATTCAACACTGAATTGTAACAGAATTTGTGTCAGATGTAATCTGAAATAGTGAGCAACAGAGACTCTGTTTTTCAAAGATCTGACAAGACCTCTCTGACCTGTTGGCTCTCCTGGTACGATGGTGGAGGAACACTCTGGGTGGCCATCATTGTCACTGCAGGTGCTGAGGACGCATGTTGCATCATGGGATAGCTTCACATTGAGGCTGAAGAAAGACACAGAAAAGAAAGAAAAAAAAAAACATGAATCCAGTGCATGGCAGTGATTGTGGATTCAGCCACCAGGTGCTGCTGTAATGAAATAATAGGAGCAGGCTGCATCTCTCCCTGCTTCTTTTTTCTCTCCACTGTCTAGATTTACTCATTTATTTCTTTGCTCCATCTCTGCTCACTCTCTCTTTGTGTGTGTGGAGCTGACAGAAGATGTAATAATAGAGATTTATCCAGCAGAGTAGATAGGAAACTCCTTTAAAACAACAAACCCGACTCATTGTTTACCACTTACAGACCGCCATGCTTGTTTACTAATTACAGTACAGTCAGGTTTAAAGCATCTTGTTTGAGTCACCTTGGTTGTGTTTGCCTCCGCTGCTGCTGTTGTTGTTGTTGTGCAGTTACCGAGCCAATCAAGAGGGCTAATGAGGGCTCTTGTTGGTGGGCTAATTGCTATTGGCCGAGACCCCACAGGGTTGAGGGGCCTTACCCTGTGGAACACCGCTGTAGCCGTCGCCCCCCACCCCCATGTGAAGGAGCTAATTGGTTCAGGGCTCAGTTACATACACTAACGCACACACAGACACACATATAGACCCCCTGCCATCTGCAGAACTTACTATAGGCGAGCACAGCGTGGGGCTCCATCCTCAAGCTACAGCTAACCTATGTGTTCACGCCGCATGAAAATGTCCTCTAAATTAACTATTTGACCCGAGGGGGAGAAGTGTTTTGATAAATGTGACACTTAACTTTATTAAAACCCATATTAAGAAATCTGATTTGAAACACATAAACACATATTTACTCATATGTATTAACACAATTTTGTTTGTTTTTTTTGGAGTTCTGATTTCTCTTTATTGATTTGTCCTACTTTGATTTTGTCTTTTTTTTTGTATCATTCTAATTTGACTTCCAACACAATGTTTGTATGTTTAAGTTTGAAGTTGTATTTTTGTGTCATACATACATTTATATGCCCCATGGGCTTACATGACATCATGAGTTAAAACATTCCAGGATCAGAGTGCATAGTAGGTCTATTCATTGAAACAAAATGAGAAAACAAAAAGTAGAAAAACCCTAATTAAACTAAATAAATTGTCTTCTTTTCCAAGCTTTTGAGACAAAGTTAGCAAGCTTAAACACATCAAACTTAAATAGCCATTCCACTTTTTGCACATCTGCCCATGCCAATATTTCAGTTTTTTTTTACAAATAACTCTCTTTAATCATCATATTTGGTGCAATGCAAGTATTAAGTATTGTCTTACATTTGCTGTGAAACAACCATTGTGTTGTAGTCTTTTTTATGCTTAGTTAACCTCTCAATCTTTTCAACCCTTTGCATTTTCACACATGCACCACATTTCTGAAATTGTTCCCAAATACTCCAGGTGACATGTGAACAGACTTTTTCCTGCAGCACCCTTGTAAAATCTCCACAAGAAGTGGCGGTGAGCCGATGTGTAAACAAAGTAAATTCAGGAATATTCACCTCGAGTGGGTGGGCAGGGATGATGAGATCTGCAGCCGGTAAACGACCGGTACAATGCAGATTATAAAGCAGAAATCAGTGTTTCTTCCACCCCCTTGTTTATACTGTGGACACCTCCAATTACACATACTGCAGCACTGATTTTAAGTCAAAAACTGTCATCATAGTGTCGGGATATGGATATGTTGGATATATTGTAAAGCTCACACTGATTTAGATGGTCCTTTTTACGTTGTCATGGTTTCTGTAACTTGCCTTATGACACCACATTATGTTTTTTGGTCATGCACTTGTAGTCCAAAGTTATTATATTGTTGCACAATTTTAAAAAACCATAATAAAACCCTAACGTAAATTCTGATTTTACAAATCAATGTATCTAGAAATTCCAAAATTCATTCTAGTGCAGAAATTCACTGATGCCGATACCTAAATCCTCTTTTCTTCCGAGCTCCAAATGCGTTCTGTATAACCTGAGCCACTGGACTTATTGGACAAAAGCCTCATAACACCACATTCAGCCTTATGCGGTCATGAAAAGGTAGCCAGCAATTACAGTTCAGCAGTGCACTTGGGCTGAATGGTATTGACCCGCAGGAAAATGTCTGATTATCAGCGAGTGAAATGGAACCGTAACATCTGAGCAACATCTCTGCACAGGTTACAGCATTCATTCAGAGCTAACGCCTCAGGAAATAAAAATGTGCAATAAATCCTCCTGACCACTAAAGCTGAGGATTTGAAGGATCTCTGAAGTGTGAGGTGGTGAACGTCAAGATATTTATTAATTTTTTTGTGAGAAAGTTAAAGAATCCACAAACAACTAAAGGTGTATCATCCACTGATATAATTCTGACTGACAACATACCATACAATATACTTATCTCCCTATACATGTATAAATGAAACCACAGACACAAAAAGTCACCCCCAACACAACAAATACAGCAGCTTGGAAAGCTTTAAATCATTTTGTAATGACGTAACGTCTAACTTGGTTTTGGTAGTTGGTGAAGTTGTGCCAGAAAACCATACTCTGCTACTCCTCCTAAAGTGCCATATGACTGTGAGGTGACTCATGCACATACACCGTATATTAATATGGACAACACATCCCTGTTTCCCTCTGTTGTACAAAACTGAAGCCAAAATATAACCACAACAGGCGCCAACATATTGTACTGGTGACATCATATGGAGCAAGACATGCGCAGAAGAGAGCTGACCGGTGCAACCGTAGAATTAATGCCAGGCCCCTTACTCTAAAGTTGCATTTAACTAAGCAATAAAACATCAAAGACCCCTCAGGTCAGTACAGTCGACAGTAGAATAGATTATTGCATTGGGTTGAAGCAGACACTCATGTTTATGCAAAGTTCAATGACTGTATTGTTAGTTTTTATTATGTTTTATCTCAACTTTTCTCTACTAATCTGGTAAGAATGCTGCAAGGAGACAACTGTGTCATCTGAGCTGTCAATCATGGCATGACATCCGCTGTTTTTTTTTTCATTAAATAATTGATGAAAATAAAACAACTCAGAAAAATGTACACTTTGATATAAATCTAATAACTATAGATTCCAGGTTGACAAAAATTCTGTTGAAACTTAATAGTTTGACCCATATCCCACCTGTTAATACGGAGGAGGCAAGGGTTTATGACTTATACTGCAGCCAGGCAGCAGAGGGAGCTCTAAAAAAATATTGGCTTCACTCCCAGACGGCTGTTTCTCCGTCCATCTTAATACACAGTCTATGGTCCCGCAGCTTCCCCATCCCCCTGTTACCAGACAGGAAGTTATGCAAACATGGCCCCTCACCCCCTTCTTCAGAATCAGGACAAAAACATGACAGACAGTGAGCTCGTCTCTCACTGAGACCCCAGACCCTGCCATGTCTGCAAAGGAAGGCGGAGTCAGAGACGAAACAGATGAGATCCTCCTCGCCTTGAGCAGCATTTCAATACATCTCTGCTGCCAACATTTTTGATGCTAAATGCTGGTTTAGTTTCCATTGACGACTTCTAATTCGGGGTTTTAGCAGCAAAATCTGCATGTTCTATCATGTCACACCGGGATTGTGTGTGCTCTGCATGCATGAATAAGAATGTGAGTACATTCAGTGCAGCATTATATCAGCGTGACTATGTTTGTATGCCTTGTGTACGTCTCAGTTTGCGAGTCAGTTTGTGTACTGATTGCGTCTTCTGGTTCCTGTTCTCTTTCCAAGTGGTATCAGCTGAGAGGCATCTTCTCTGTTATCAGGCCTCATTTTAATTGCAAATGCACCGAGCGTGTTAGTGATTAAATGGAAAATTGCACATTAATTGATGAGACTGAAGATAAAGCAATTCCAATTACTGCACAGTATTTTAGGCGGCCTCTCAAGTTTTGCCATCCCTCGGAGGAACAAGTCACCCAACGCCAAATTTGAGAACGCAATCGAGCATCCATAACTACACACATACAGAGACATATTGTGCATACAAGCACAAACAAGAACAATGAAATAACACCAAGAGGCCAGACATTTCATTTTAAGAGTGAAATTTAAAAAAGCCTCAAAAGTACAAAACTCTTCCAAAAAATGGGAAAATATCTGGTAACCCTTTTTCTCTAAACTCACCAAAGGTGTAACCATGGTGACACAATATGTCGTAAAAATTAATTTTGGGGACAACTGACATGTTTGTTCCTCAACAAAGGCCTCTGAATTATTACAGAGTTCATAATGCATATCAATTGAAAAGTGCCCGTAGCCGCAATCAAAATTCAAAAGAAAGCACAAAATGGAAAATGAGAAGTAGGCATAAAATTATTCCCACAAACATCAAAGGGTTTTTCTTGTGAATTTGGATTAGAGGTAGTCGCACTCTTTCAACAGCTAAATGTGTTCGGTAAGAAACACTTTTCAATTTTCCCGACAATTCTCAGGAACAGAGCTGACTCTATTGTCCTGGTGTGAGGTTAGTCAAGAGGCAGAGGTGCAGTTTCACCCCGATTATCCCCGGCATTGAAATGAAAATCCTTATCTGGTCACGTATGATGTGATCACTGCCGTCGGCCTCCACACTTCAACCATGTCCAAAGCTTTTTTCTTCATCTGCTTTGGTTTGGAGGTGAATTTATTGTAGAGTGTTTGACTTCTTTTAGGCAGGAGGTAACAGAAAGAAAACGGATCATCTTTATGATTTAAACAGAAGAGAGAGAGCATCATGGAGAACATGTCTTACACTCCACACTGCGACCTGGCAGGGATTTTAATACCAGTTTATTAAAAGCAGACTGGATGTAGACTATCTGGCAATGTGTCATCAACAGCTTCTCCCTGCAAATTCAATCTAACAGGAGCAGCGACGGAGGTGACAGAGACACAGGTAGATTCAGTCGTTGCGTCAAACTGAAAATAAACGTGGTGAGTCGGTTGTTTGATGCGACTGAGCTGTGATGTTCTGATTTTTTTATAGCGCTCTTGAGCACAGCTGAACCC